GAGGAGCTTTAGTTTAGGCGCAGTGAGTTTTTGTTAATGGTGGTGGAGTATTTCTGAAAATGATAGCAGTACGGGCAGAACACAGGTTTTGAAAGGTCCAACTTACGTACAACCTGCAGTTACAAACCAGCCTGCATAAAAACTCAAGGTCCACAGACTCTAGACTTCCTGAAGCCGTAAAGCTGGATGATCCCCTGAAATTGTTGCCGTGATAATCGTTAAACTTTAAACCAAAAATATCCCCTGAAGTCTTCTTAAAACCAAACAATAGTTTAGCTTAACTTGTAAGAAATGTCTGTCTTGAGTAGTATGGTCTTTTAAGAACTATGTATCAATATAGGGTCATACTGATGACAACAACTCTAGATAAGAACCTCAGGGGACAGTGAGTGTATGTAAATGGGGAGAGGAACTTCTCAAAAAAAGAAGAGAGTGGTTGCACAACTCAAAGAATGTAGTCAGTGTCACTAAATGGTACAGGTAGAAAACGTGGTATACATTTTCCTGTGTATATTCAAAAAATAAAATTAACAAATTATATTTTAAAAACAGTTCAAGGTACATACAATATTTCATAATAAAACAGGTGCTACTTTGCAATGGGTCTCAAAACATTATTATAATTGATTTGGTGTATCTGGAATTTTTTTTTTTATGCATAGAACTATACCCATTTACTATACACTAACACAAACATTTGACTGACTCCAGATACACACCATACCTAACTATTCTGACTTACATACAAATTAAACTGAATGACAGACTTAGAAATAGAACTCATTCATAATCTAGGGACCACATGTAATGGTAACACTACTAGAAAAACTTAGTAATTAAATTGTAATTCTGGAACTTGTGCTGGGAGGTTTGGATGTGTATTTTCACAATTAAAAAAAGTGTGTAGCAGAGTGGTTTGTTATAAATGCCTAGGCCTGGGCCCCACGCTCAGGTTTACTCCAGGTCTGGGATGTGACCCATGAATGTGCATACTTTTCCAAGCTTCTGAGAGAACCTGAGTCAGCAAGCTAGTAGACAACTTAGAAACAGCCCTGTAGTTTTCCGTGCTTTCCAATAGTAGGATGGTTGGTTCTATTCATTATACTGAAATCTTGGCTTGGATTCTCTTTCCAGAAAAGCCTTCCCTAAGAGTTCCTACTAAACTAGGTCTTCCATTACTATTGCTACTCTTACTAGGCTTTATTTTTCATAGTAATCATTGGTTCCTGATGCTTTTTTCCCCACTTGGTGTATGTCTCCTTTGCTAGACTGTCAACTCCATAAAGGTTCTTTTCCTGTTTTGTTGCCTGATGTATCCCTGGTGTGTAAAACAGTGCCTGGTGTAGTGATGGTGCTTTAAAATGTCATTAAAGGACTGAATTACCCCTACCCCAGGATTGCAGATCAAGGTCCGAGCAACAGTGTAGCAAATTTCCATCTCTGTTCCTACCAGCAAGACTCATGTAACAGAATATGGGATTAAGGAAATAATAAAACTTCATAGAGGAGACAGGCCAAAACACCAACATTCAGCAAAGTGAGGAGAAATGAAGATAAACCACTTACTGCCAATTCAGTGGGTCACAGAGAACCTGCAGTCTTCGAAATGATGTATATCTCAAATTAATATAAGGGTTCAACTCCAAGACAACCCAAAAGGATTGAACCTACCCCCATCACCTATACTTTGCTCCTTTCTTGGAGTCCCTGGGTGAATAACTGGAAGATGGGCAGTTCAAACCCACCCAGAGGTGCCTCATAAGGCAGTCCTGGGATCTGCTTCAAGGGCATGGCCTTGAAAATCCTTTGGAGCAGTTCTACTCCACACAGATGGTTTCTCCAAGAGTCAGAATTGACCCGGTAGCAAATAACTGCCACTGTTAGAGACTAAGGCTGGGCTTTGTGTTTTATTCCATTTATTCTGGGCATCCTTCCTCTTTTCTGCTCTTCCATCTCTGTTCATTTTCTGGGTCTTTCAAATGACCTATGAAAATGCCTTCCAATGGCTCATTCACTTCAGTGGCAAAACACTGATTAGTTATAGAATCATTCATTTTCTAAATCAGCATGCAGTTATTTCTGTGTGCTAGAAAATATAAAATTATGTAAACCAGTGCTCTCCAATATTATTTCCTATGTCACAGAAATACTAGAGATTCCACTCAGTATACACTTTCCAGCCACAGAAGAGCGCTAGAAAGCCTTGCTCATTTTCTGTGCTGTCCAATTTGGTAGACACTAGTCCCACATGAAGGAGCTCTGGTGGCATAGTGGATAAGGCACTTGACTGCTAACTGGAAGCTCAGCAGTTCAAACCCACCAGGCACTCCGCAGAAGGAAGACCGGGCAATCTACTTACGTAAAGATTTACAGCCTTGGAAATGCAATGCAGGTTGCTGTGAGTTGGAAACAACTTGATGGCAGTGAGTTTGGGGTTTTTTTGGCTGTCACACAGGGCTACAGAACACATGAAATGTGGTTACTGCAACTAAGGAGCTGAATTTTTATTTTTTCACTTGAAAATTCAAATACTTACAAATCACTGCTATCAAGTTATTCATAATCTGCTTGGGTGTAAATACTCAGAAACACTATCAAGGAATTTAAAATAACGTGGGGATAAACAGTTCTGGTGTGACACAAGGACTTGTCTAAATCCTTGAGGGATAAGAATCAGTATCAGTATAAGCTGGTTCCTATGAGACCGAGGTCAGACCTACCTCTGCTCTCCAGCTTCTTCACTGTCCTTACACCTGCAAGTCCCCCCATGGTACTTCCCACTTCCCTGCTTGGTGTTAATTCATTGCAGTGGTCACAGAGAACTCACAGACCATAGTCACAGTTATGTAGTTTATTAAGGAGGTTAACGGGCTACATCACGGAATCAGTATCAAATCAAGAGTAACAAGATACAACTAGAATGTAATTGGTCAGTGCAGCAGCTTTCATGCAGGATAACCCTTGGAGCAAACATGCTCCCTGTGGGCACAGTTCTAGGTGAAGACCTTGGACATTGCTCTGCTGTCAGAGCCTCTCCACTGTGTGGCTGCTTCGCCACTGACTCTCCGTTGTCTGTCTCTGTTGCTGACTGGCCCTGCTCACAGTGTAGCAGCATGCTCAGCTCTCTCCGCTGGTGCTCTTACAAACAGCTCTCCTGTTGGGCCTCCCTGCTGTCAGGCTATCCATGATTGGTCTCTCTACTGATGGCTTACCCTGGGCTACATGGCTCAGTTCACAGACAGTGTAGTAACCTGCTCAGTTTTCTGAATGCTCTCTGCTGTGAGGCATGTCCACCGCGAGTGTCTCCACAGCCAGTCTCTCAGCTGCTAAGTGATGTAGTTTGCAGCCAGTGTATTTGTTTGCTAGGCTCTTAGGTGCACTCTCAGCTTTCATAAATGCGCTCTGATGTTGAGCTTCTCTCATGAGGCCTCCAGCCGTCAGCACTTCTATCATGGTCTACTCCACTGTTAAGTGACCAAGCCAGTGTAGCAGCTGTACTCAGCGCTCAGGTAGCTTATCTTCTTTGCCCTTGCAGCTCTTAGCCAGCACCTGTTCTGCCATCCAGAATGTCCCCCCGCCCCCCAAGACTTCAGGCACTTATAGATCCAGATTTTAATCAGTTGCAACGCAGGGCCTCCATCAGCAGAGTTCAACCAATCCTCAATTACCCTTGAGATGTTTTATCAACTCAGGTCTTGTTAATTACCAGGCCAAACATAACTATCAAACCATCTAGATGTTTACAGCTTACCCAGAAAATGTCAACTAACAAGGAGAATCCTCTGAGCAAAAGTAACAAACCTACTTGGGTAGAAAACAAACTGGGGTACCCAACACCCACCAGTGCTTCTCCACCAAAATGTAGGATGAAGGTAACAACTCCTCGGGCACAAGGGAAAAAAAATCTTCATGTGGGTAAAAGCCACATAAAGGAACTAATTTCACAACAGTCACAAAAACGATCAAGGAATTTATAATCTCTTCAGGGAGATTAAGACATGGATATTAAAATAAATACCTTGTTTCCTAAGATGTGCAAGTACCATCAAAGTAACCCGTGGGTAGTTCAAATGGTTAATGCACTCTACTGCTAAACCAAAGGTTGGAGGTTTGAGTCCAACCAGTCATGCCTCGAGAGTCCTGCTGATGTACTTCTGACAAATCATCCATGGGAAACTGTAGGCAGCAGAGTTCTATTCTAACACACATGGGATCGCTGTAAGTGGGAATTGACTCAATGGCAACTAGATCCTGACAATCGTCATAAGATTTTAGGATTCTCTACTTCTGGCAACATCTAACTAAATCCCTTTTTACCAATTATAACATGTCTATTTCACCTAATGTAGATATTACATTGTTCTCGACTAGATTAGGTAGACTGCCAAGATCCTACTTAAATATAATCCAACTAACTTAATACTCTCCAAGAGGGCATTTTCTTTTTTTATTCACCATTGTATTCTCAGCTCCTGGAAAAAAGGACAGGGACAATGGCAGTATGTGACAAATACTCCTTACATTCATTAATAGACCTAATGTGAGTCTATGGTTTCACAGGTCCCTCAGTAATAATGTAAAGTTCTAAAACTGATGGTAGATTTCTCATTATCGACACACTGAACTAATATGAGCCCCAATTCCCACCAATCCAATACTGCCCTTTACCCACTAGTCATTCCTTTGTGATTTTTCATTCAGAACACTTAGAGGCCCCATGAGTCAGAATCAACTCAACAGCAACAAAAAAAGCAACAATTCAAATGCCTATCATCTTTTTTGTCTTAAAATTTGCATTACTTATTTTGTCTAGTGACGTGAACTTGGACTTTTATTCATTTAACTGACACAACAGAACAACTGATATGCATGTGTTGAGCTAGCGGGCTTTCCCAGTTCCTGCATTCATATGATTTCTCTCAGGATATATTTTGTAGTTATACAATGAGGTAGAAATTTTTGCTCATCTCTATTCTTCAGTGAATGTATCTGAGTTTATTCTATGGGTTTTGTGTGGCATAAAATAAGATGTAATTGATCATTGAAGGCACTGTCACATTCACTGCATTCATAGGCACTACCACATTCACTGCATTCATAAGGATTCTCCCCTGTACAAACTCTCTGCTACCTATGGAGGGTTCACATCTGGCCACAGGCTGGCCCACAAGGACCATGTTCCTATTTGTTAGGAGCCCACTAATGTTTACTGATGGTTGAGCCGCCACAACAGGCATCTGCACAGTCACCGTATTAACAGGACTTTTCTCCTGCACGCGATCACTCGTGGGTGACGAGGCGTGACTCTCTGTGGAAGTGTCTTCCACCTTGATCGAATCTACACATTTCTGAACTGTGTGTTTTCTTTTATGTAAATATAAGGAAGAAGTATAGGCAAAGGTTTCCCCGCACTCACTGCAACCATACGGTGTCTCCCCTGTATGAGATCTTTGATGTACACGAAGCTTTGGCTTTGTGTTGAAGGCCTTCCCACATTCATTGCATTTGAAAGGTTTCAGTCCCGTGTGATTTTTCTGATGACTGATGAGACCAGACTTCTGGGAATAAGGTTTTCCACATTCACTGCATACAAAGGGACTCTTTCCTGTGTGAAACCTCTGATGTCCTATGAGGCATGACTTCTGGCTGAAGCCTTTCCCACATTCACCACAGACATAGGGTTTCTCTCCAGTGTGAGTTCGCTGATGTATGATAAGATTTCCCTTCTGGATGAAGCCTTTTCCACATTCACTACATACATACGGTTTCTCTCCAGTATGAATTCGCTGATGAATAATGAGATCTGCCTTCTCGAAGAAGCTTTTTCCACATTCGCTGCATATATAGGGTTTCTCTCCCCTATGAGTTTTCTGATGCTTAATGAGCCCTGATTCATAGAGGTAAGCTCTGCCACATTCCGAGCATTTGTATGGTTTTTGGCCCTTATGAGTTGTCTGATAATGTTCAGTGAGCTTAAACTTTTTAGGAAAGGTTTTCTCACAAAGACTGCATATATGTGGTTTCTCACCTGTATGAACGATCTGATGATTAGTGAGGAAAGACTTTTTGATGAATGCTTTCCCACATTCACTACATACATGTGGTTTCTGTATTTTGTGAGTTTTCTGATGCTTAGTGAGTTGGGACTTAGTGCTGTTAGATTTTTTACTCTCAGGAAATTTCATTTCAGTACAAAATGGCTCATGGTCAGCATGGAGAGAAGCTTTCTCATCTTCAGTAAGCTCAGCAGAGTGTGCTATTTCGTCGCTTCTGCTCTGGTCGACTGTCGATACACTTGATTTCACAGTTTTTTCATGCAAGTCAAACATACCATGATTTTCCCTCATAGGAAAATTATTTTTGTGCTGATGAACATTTTCTAGTGCATTATGATTATAGCACTGTTCCATTCTTTCCACTCTGCTTTCATTTTCTGAGTGCCCAAGCAGATGACCATCACCTTGCTGGATTTCTAGGAAAGAAGAGAAGAATGAATCCTTCTATCAAATTGATTTTAAATGAAGCCATTTAAAAAAAAAAAAAAGGCATTGATGGGTCTTTAATGACAATCATTTGATATGAGTGTAAATAAAACTATATTTAATGTTCCTTGCATACTGATAAAAATACAAACAAGCCAAAGAGTAAAAACAGTTAGTGTAGAAACAAGGTTGGATAATGTATTATGAATAAATACAGATACAGTTGCTTCTTAGATAAGGCCTTGCAAAAACATGCAGAGAATGTAAAATACAAGGAAGTCATTGTAATTCACAGACCACAGAGATTATAAGGCTTTGAGTTTATGGATCACAACTGGTAAAGGACAGATCCATTCACTCCCAAATCCTTACTGAAAGACAAGTATTCATCAGATGTAGTTGACGAGGTGAAGAATGCAGAATGTTACATTTGGGAGAAAACAATTTTCATATATGCATGGTAAAGGTGTCATATTCCTTCTGTTTATGGAGCCTACATTATAGTTCGATAAACTACTGAGGAAGCAGCAAGGAAATCCATAAACAAAGTAGCTGCATATTGTGCACAACGGTTTTTATGAAAAGAGCTTGAGGTAAATGGAGGATATGAGGCCACATTGTGAAGGAGGAGAGGCTCACTGATGAGTTCATTGTTGTTGGGGAAGGATAAAGAAAGTGAGGAACAGAGATGCTGCTAAGTATTTCATTGAAACCATGGGGTACTACTATTTTTTAATGAGAGGAAAAGTATCACTGAAGTAGAGAAGGTTCAAGAGAACATTCTGAAGCATATCAACTTCAAGATGATCATTACATTATCAAAATACAGAAAAGAAAACCTGAAAGATGCATAAATCCTGAGAAAAGTCTTGACTGAAGGTAAAAATTCGGCAAACTTTAAAATTTACCTATGATTTCAAGAAGGAGCTCTGGTAGCGTAGTGCCTAAGCACTTGACTGCTAACCGGAAGGCTGGTGGTTCAAACCCACCAGCCACTCCTCAGAAGGAAGGTTGGGCAATCTACTTCTATAGTGATACTGCCTCAGAAACCCAAGGAGGGGTTGCTGTGAGTCAGGTCTGACTCAGTGGCACACGACAATGATTTAAAGACAGAGAACAGAATAAGATCAAGTTCAGAGTACATGTACATTAAAAGAAGATGAAGACCAAGGCTTTAATCATTCTATTATTTAGAGCTTCAGAATTAGCAAAGTCCACTGAGGAACTAAGTGAAAACAGCTGTAATATTTACAATGAACTAGGAGAACGATTAGAATTAGTGTGGGATTAAAAACTCTATTTGCCTTTTGTGTTTGGCTCTTTAAAAGGTAACCCTTGGGAGCAATGTTATGATAACTTTTGAGCCACAGCCAAACAACTTGAGGAATTGAGTCACTGGACTCATGAACTTGGGACTATGGTCATGAGGGACATCAAGCTCATATGGCATAACACAGTACACAAAAACACAGTTCTACATCTTATTTTTGTGAATAGCAACTGGGGTCTTAAAAGCTTGTGAGCAGCCATCTAAGATGCAACTACTGGTCTCTCCAAGTCCAGAGCAAAGAATATCAGACACATGGAAACAATTAGCCTGAGACCAGAAGAACTAGATGGTGCCTGGATAGCACTGACAACTACTTGGAAAGGGATCAAATTTGGAGATCCTGGATAGAGTGAGAGAAAAATGTGGAAGAAAACTCAAAATCAGAAAAAAGAGTAAGTATAGTGGTTTAATACAGACTGGTGAAACCCCCAAGACTATGACCCCCTAGTCACCTTTTGGCCTAGGAATTAAACTTATTCCCATGGCTTCCAGGCAAAAAAATAGACAGGCTTTAAGGTGAACAATTATATCAGGTAGGTACACTCCTTAGAATAATCAACCACTGGTGATCAGAACATCAGAATTTGCACAGTACAGGGAGAAAACTAAGAGGGAAGGAATGCGTAAGGAAGAAGTACACAGGGAAAAGGTAACCACAGGGAGGAAGTAGGAAGAGAGGTATTACACTGTGGAGATTGCAGTCAATGTCATGAAACAAATTGTGTATGAACTATTGAATAGAAAATGAATTTGCTGTGTAAACTTTCACCCAAATCACAATATAAAAAAAGAATGAAAGACAGCCCTTGGAATTTTCCAGCAATCAAGGGACTTTTTGTTTTCTCAAATAGTCAGACAACACTTTATAATGTGTACAAAGAGATGTTATCTGTCAATTGACCTCAAGAGGTAAAGAGACCATGATGCAACCAAACATACATATCCATTTTTTTCAATAGGTTATACCTATGCAACAAAGCCTCTATCATGACTGTAAACGAAGTCCACAAAATGCTATGTCAAAAAAAAAAAGTTTTGGATTTCTTGAACTGCTGAGAACATTCACTCACAAGAGAGGGTGAACATCCCTGGAGACAACAGATGTCTCCTGCTGGGACCTCTCCCAGTCCATGCCTGAGAGGTTTCTTCATTTGTATGCTTTCTAGTTTCCAGATGGCTGCCACCATCTCAGCCGAGATGCCAAGGGCCAGACAGGCATGTCTGAAGGAAAAGCAGAGGGGAGACTGTCCCGATCGAAGAATTTCATTTTGAGAGTGTTCTTGAACCTGTTGCCTAATAAACCCCATAATTGTTAGTATTGTCTGTGAGTTCTGTGTGGCCACTGCAACAAATTATCAAACCCAGTAGAGAAGTAGAGTGCTGTGGGAAGGACAGGTGGTGTCAGACTGGGTAGGAAGGTTGTGGAGGGTGGCTGCATGTCTGGCCTCACAGGAATAAGTCTTGGGCTGTTGATGGTGATTCTCTCCCCATCTTGAGGTTGGCAGATGTCCAAGGAAGATGTCTCCTCCATACTCTTATTTGCATTACTATGCAAATGAAAACCAAACTCACCGCTGTCAAGTTGGTTCCAACTCACAGCAACCCTACAAGAGAGAGTGTCTCAAGAGCAGGGCTCATTTATTATGCAAATAGGCCACATAAAACCACCCAATAGGATTGAGTGACTTGCTTATATAAGCAGCCAATCACACAAAGGTTTTCAGAGAGAGGACTGGGGAGATCTAGAAGGGGGAATAGCCTAGAACAGACGTGATATGGGTCAAGAGCTGTAACCGTGAACACAGAGATGGTGTGACACAGCACAAGCTGGTCATGGTGGGCATGCTGCACCACAGAGTGAGCGACCGTTGAGTGGCTTCAGATAGGAGGCGTGATGACGGAGCAAGGAATCTCTGGGCACTTGGTGGAGGCAAAAGAGCTGTAACACCCCCTTGCAAGGGTAGAGTCCTAGTGAGGCTCAGCAGCTGACATGCTGTTGCCTGCCAATAAGCACGGCAAGAGAAGGAGCTGAGACCAGTCTTGGTTGGAACCTTTCCTGGTTGAAGAACTACCTCCTGTCTTGACTTTCGACTTTCACGATGATTTCACTGGTGTAGTGGGCGAGGCATCGGAACTCCTCTAACTTTATGGTGGGGGAGGGAGGATCATTAACAGCATCAACAGCCCAAGTCTGATTCCTATGAGGTGGAGGTGAGACAACCCTTGTCTCTCCCAACTTTTTACCAATCTGACATCATTTGTTCCTCCCATGGCATTCTCTGCTTCTCTGTAGGGTTCAATAATTTGTTGCAGTGGCCACACGGAACTCACAGACCATAATCATGATTATGGGGTTTATTTGCAAAGTAACAGGTACTACTCAGGATCAGGATTAACTTGAAAGTAACAGAAGTTAACTCAGGATTCAGTTCCTGAAGTCAGGACTGCTGCTTCTCACCATCTGCCACTGGTGGCCTTGCTGCCACTGGGCCCTGCTGGGGTTTTCTTGTGCAAGTGTTACAACTCTTAGCTCCGTGGGTCAGCAAGCCCACTGCAGCCATCTTGCACCAGTCTTGGTTCCATCCATGTCACGCCACTATTACTCTTCTACTGCTGCACTGTCTCAGTGTCTTCCATGTTACAAATCTTACCTCTCTCCCTCTCCCTCCCTCCCTCCCTCCCTCTCTCCCCCTCCCCCTCTCCCTCTCCCTCTCTCTCTCTGCCCGGAAGGTTCCCAGCACAGGGACCCCAGAATCATAGTATGCACTCCCTTTTCCACCTCTGGAATGAGTTATTTTAAACCTACCAAGATGGCAAAACTGACCAATCCCCTTATTAGGGTTCCAAACACCTTACTGCATGATTTCACCACTACAAGGGCACCATGTACATTATAACATAGTACCAATAAATCATTTGCTAGCAGTTACAACATGATGGCACGCAAGGTCATGAACATGGGATCTACGGCACTGCAATCCCAGTCCTGAGCTGTAGCGTGTTAGTTCATGAATAAACCACATAATCATGAGTATGGTCTATGAGTTCTGTGTGGCCACTGCAATGAATTATCAAATTCAGCAGAGCAGTACAGAGTGCTGTGGAGTGGGAGGTGCTGGTGTTAGAAATGGTGAAAGAGTTGGAGAGTGGAGGATGTCTGACATCCTCCTCACAGGAATCAGTTTTGTGCTGATCTTGATTCTCATCCCTCCTCTAGAAGTTAGATGAGCTCTAGTGCTAGTAGAATACAACTGGCTTCACCAATGGGATTACACTGATTTTATCTGGATCTGCAGGGGAGTGCCACCTGGTGCAGCCTTTACTGGGACTGGATGGAGAGAACAGCCAGTCTGACCCTTACTAGGAGTAGCTGTGGAGCCTGTCCAGTACACCTTTACCCACATTGGTGGTGGAGCCTTGCCCAGTCTGGCCTTTACCTGGATTGCCTGGGAACCCTACCCCATCACGTGGTCTGGCTTACATGAAGGATAGAAACACTGAGGATTTTGAGGGGACCTCCTGATTGGTGATGGCCAAGATAGCTCATCCTTTGGACATGGGGCCCTGGGTTGAGACTATCATAGATCTGAGTAAGAAAACTGTAGCACACTTAGGGCTGTGAGGGCAATGAAGGGAGAACACATGCTGGGACAAGAACTGCAGAAACAAGAAAACTTGAATGGTGGCACCAGAGTGTAAGGGTCAAGCTGTGACCAGGAACTGTAACACTCTGAGGGGCTGCCACAGAGGAGGGGTCGTCCCGAAGGAAGTTCTACACCAAGAGCTGCTGTGAAAGCCAGCTTACAGTTGTGGGGGACTTAGAGGACCTAGTACTGCCCAAGAAAAGAAACAATCTGAGAGCCATCCCAGAGCTGGTCAGGAGAAGCGGGGAACCAACTGAGAAGAGCAGTTGACAATGGAGCCCACTGAGTGACCATACAGAATAGTTCCTGATTGATAAAATGGAACATTTGTTCCCAAGAGGTTAAGTGAATGCCCTGGAGGAGTTGAGTGTATGTGCAGAACATATATGTGTCTTACACATATCTTCACTTACATCCTTTCTTTAGTCTTCTGTGTTGTACTAAAAGTTGCTATTGCAGATAAGATGTTTCAGTGAAATCTCTGTGACCACTGCAATAGATTATCAAACCCAGTAGCAAAAGAAAGTGTACAGGGCAAACTGCTGGTGTCAGAAATAATGTGAAGTGAGGAAGTTGGGATATAATGGACCTCTGCCTGATAGGAACCAGTTTGGGGTTGATACTCATACTTCAGAGTAACCACTGCAGTATGCATGAGTTATATCTGCTTTACGATAGAACTGAGAATGTAGGATGTTAAAACCATTTTTTCTAGTTAAAGAAATCACTAGGAAGAGCAAACACCTTTAAAGAAAACCTTTTATGTACGAAACATTCTAACTGCTGGATGGCAAGAATTTGAGATGTTCAGTACTAAAGGAGGATCCTAGCTCACTGTAAATATTGGGAACTCAGAGAAGTTTCACCAAGAGCAGTAAAAATATAGAAAAAAGTCTGTTAGATAATTACAAGGCAGTTGTCAATACGAAAGAAGTAGTTTAACTGATCATAACGAAGGATACTTGAAAACACTGAACAAATGAAAGAGAAATCAGAATCTTTAAAGAACATGAGAATGGAGGCAAAGAGAAGCAAAGGATAAAGGAGCAACGAGAGACCAGCTGACTGCAGGTGCACAACATTCCAGGTGGGGTCGGGTGTTAGGAAGTGAAATCAGGATTTTCCACTAAGGGAAGAAAGTGCCATGCTCTGAGGACAGTAATGAATTCAACATTGTCCTTGGAGAGAGAGGCTCAGAATGTGGAATTTCACAACAAGGGCAGTGGAAGGACATGAAGAAGGCAAAGACTTGAGAACAACAGGAAGAACAAAAATTATAGAAGCAAAAATATAAAGATATAGATCAAATAAATGAGGTTCTGGTATCAGAAGACAGAGTACTATATATATATATATATATTTCTCTAAACTCCTAGGAAGAAAAAGAGGTATCACAGGAGAAGAGGCATTGGTACATGGGGGTTCTTTTATGTTTCCTCAGACACCCCTCACAGATATGATCCTTCTCTCACTGACTGTCTTCCCCAGCCTTTCCCCCTTACCACTTTTTGCTGGCTCACCTGAAAAGATCCCACTATGGCTTGCATCTGATACAGTCCATGGTTGTTCTCGTTCCAAGGTGGAGAGTATATCTGGTTTGCTAACTTGATACCCTGTTCATGGGAAATCACAGAATGTTAGACACACCAAATTGGCCTTGTGTTTGTGAAGAGTATAAAATGTCCTATTAGTGAAAAAAGTAATTTTCAAACATGCCAACCACATAATCGTGAGTATCTCTGGGAGGTTTCTCTGTGAGGAGTAAGGAGAATATACTCACTTATCTAGGGCTAGAGAGTGGATTAAGAGCAGCTAGTTTAGAGCATCACACACACGCCAAAGCTTCTAGAAGCTGAGAAAGGAAAAACCAATGACGGGAGAGTTGTCCTCACCAACGGACACCAGGTTGCTGTAGTTCTCCAACATTACATCCCAATACAGGTTCTTCTCAGCAGAGTCCAAGAGCTGCCACTCCTCCCAGGTGAACTTCACAGCCACATCGCTGAACGTCAATGATTCCTGTACCAAGAGGACTCTGTTTAATGAAGTATTTTCCACTTGATGATATAAGAGAAGCTGTTCTGTTCTTCTATATAGTGAGCTGAATCTATACACACATTTCAAATCAAGTCATGTACAACTTACCCAGGAAACGCCAATCAACTTGGACAAAAGTAACAAACCCTCTAGGGTAGAAAACTAGGGCAATTCATTTTTAAGTATCTTACAGAAAAATCAAAATCTTAATATATTATTCTGAATTTGTGTATTACATCATGAAATTAAGAATTTTTCTGTAATGTATAGCAGTGAAATTGTCTTTGTAAGACAGAAACATCTCACGGTTACACACATACTCACACTTATACATATTAAAAGACAAGATAACAGCACACCATGAGATGGGGCTAGGAATAGTAGCAGCATAAGTAGCTTTGTCAGAACTTAACTTCAGGGTGGATAACGGTCAGGATCATTTCAAGGTGGGTCCCTATGAGGTGGAGGTCAGAGATACCCCCACCCTCCAACCTTTTACCAATTCCACCAGCAACCGTTGCCCCTGTGGCACTCTCTACTTCTCCTCTGGGTTCAGTGATCCATTGTAATGCCAACAAAGACCTCACAGACCATAGTTACAGTTAAGTGGTTTACTAAGGAATAGGGCATAAATCGGGAGCAGGATCAATAGGCAACAAATCAGGAATCACAAGGAGGAAGTGTGTACCAGAGTCTTCCTTCCTCACTGCAGGACAGCTTGCTCAGGCTCCTCTCGGCCCCTGAGGACAGGCTGCTCTTGGCCCTGCCATCTGTCCAACAGCTCTGCCTCTGGGTCCCTTCTGGACCTCTCACTGTCTTCAGTGTTACAGCCCTTGACCATCGTTACAGCACTTTCAGGAGGTTCCTTGCCCCCCACACCCCTTCCTCTCTACTGTTTCTCTTCTTGCTTCTTCTGCCTGACAAACCTCTGTGGGGCTAGCTGCTTAGATCTACAAACTCCTCTTCAACTGCATGACTTGGCTATACAGCTTACCCAGGAAATGTCAATCAACCTGGAAGAAATAATACACCCTGTGGGGTAGAAAACCAGGGCAAGGGAACTCAGAGCTCAGGCAAAAAACCTCTCCAGCTGTTTTTCCAAAGAACCAAGGCAAAAGACCACATAAGAGAACTCATTTCACCATGTGTTGTTGTTATGTGCTGTCAAGTCGGACCCAACTCATAGCGACCCCTCCATGGGTTTCTGAGGCTGTATCACTACGGATTGCCCAACCTTCCTTCTGAGGAGTGGCTGGTGGGTTTGAACTGCCAGCCTTCTGGTTAGCACTCAAGTGCCTTAGGCACTACGCTACCAGAGCTCCTATGTGTCAAAAACATGAAAGGGATAATTAGTCAACTGTAACGTACCATCAAACAAAATGCAGCAGAGAGGAGAGGCGGGGCAAGATGGCGGACTAGGCAGAAGGATTGCACAGACCCTCTTCAACAAAGAAAAGGGAAACCATTAACACAGACACAGAAGATAAT